CTGTTCAGCCAGGCCGGTCTTCTTTCCCACCGGCTCATTTTCCAGTCTCTTTGTCATATAGTCCTCTAGCAGTTAAAAATGTTGCTCCTCTTCCTACAGAGGAAAGTGCTTTGAGATAGGTTTTCTTGGGCCTGCCTAAGGGCTGTTTGTAAATGTCCTGTGTACCACATTTGTTCTGTAGTGGTTTGCGTATGACTCTCGTTGTACAAAAAGTTTATATTAAATTACTGCGCTTTGTTTGGATGACTGTAACTCAGCTATGTCAGATGCTATCCTCGAATCCAAAATGCAGAAGTTAATGGTGCAAATGTTACAGTTAAATATTAAATTACAAGACTAGCTACTTTAGAAAATGTTTAGTGTCTTAGTATATTTTATAGTACCGGGAACCAACGATTAAGTAACTGGAAAGGAATAAAATTAAAGAAAATCAGTCCACTGATAAATAGGTTAGCAGTGATTAATCCTCCCTTAAATGAGTAGTTCAGTTGACATTAATAGGGCAGCTTATTTGAATCAAAGCAATGCATGCTGTAATAAAATGAACAACAAGCAGTGACTCATACAGTCGTAACTATCTCTGGATGCTAATGCCCCCAAGCCATTTGGTACCTTAAATTTTGCCCAACCAAGAGAAATGTGATAGGTGGATGAAATGACATGCCCCAAGTGACCCAGAAACAGATGAGAAAGAAAACATTAGACTGCAGGACTTCTCAAGGAGTGAATTATGTTCCTTCTGCTACAGTTTTGGCACTTTATCTATTGCAAGCTGATCTCATTTACTTTGCTTGTATTTGGATGATGTCTTTATATTTTCTGAGAAGGCTTACGCACAGCTTTGTGGCTATTGACATAAATGGACTCGTATGTCTGTAACACCATGTCCTTTCGTTCCAGGAACAAGCCTTTACAGCAATCTCTGCAGAATCATGGCTGAATCTCTTAATGCTGTTGTCGTCTCAATTGAGTGAGTAATCTAAAACTAATCAAGTAATTTTAAGATATTAGAAATATGCAACATAGTTCTTTTAGCTTTTTCCTTTTCCTTTGTTACTGGCTTGTGTATAAGGCTTTAACTTGGACAATAGTTCTCTTTACCAATCTGATACTTTTATTCTTTTAAAATTAGTACAAATTGGAATGGTCTCCAAAGTTCATTTAGGATTCTGAATATTTTAGAGGTCATTTTATAAGGCAGAAATGTGGGAAAAGACAGTAGCACTTGATTCAGTTGAACAAATACTAAAATGTGAATTTTAGCACACCTTGCAATTGTATCTACATGGAACGACTGCCGCTAAAACCTGAGATCGCTCAAGTGGCTTAAGTTATGTTTCTGTAAATATTTGTCAACTTTAAAAACAAACAAACAAAACTCAAACACATTTCAATATGATACATACCTGAAATAAGGTTGAACTGCATCACTCTGCCTCCCCACATAGCAAGAGCAACTTTTCCCATGTCCTCAATGGCCATTCCCACTGCTGCAAGGTATATTGTTAACATACGTATTTAAAATTATGTTTAAATATATACTAAGTTAATATATATATATATTAAATCCCCTTCAAGTCTGTCTAGAAACCTCAGTTTCCAAGTCATATTGAGCAGGGGTCTGCAACATAAAAATTATCAAATCATCTTACCCCTGCTTATTAACCAGAATCCACTGTGGAGTCTGGCAGTTTCCTGTTGCTCTCTCCATCTCCCACTGTTGCAGTCACCTCATTTAAGCCCTGTACTTCACTCAAGAGCAGAGGGCTGCCAGGGTGCCAGACAACAGAGAAGTAGGGCTGCTTTTTAACTTTGTGAACAATTCCAAGATAAACAAACCTCTTGACTAGCTAGCTGCATTACTTAGATGGCTCCAACATGATTGGTACTTTTCTCATCTCTATTGTCAACTTCAATATTTTTCTTTTCCAAACCCAATCACTCGATACAACTGCTCAGGTTTCCCACCTGCAGCTGATTACATATCAAGCTCTGTGATCTAATTGCAACTTAATTATATGGACTTGATGTTACTAATTCAATACTTACAGTGTTCTTTAAAGGGTCACTTTTTAACTTCTTTTTTATTAGTAGAAACAATGAAAAGTAAAAAAGCAGCTGTTGGTTATTTCAGATAAGCAGCGATCGCAGTATTGAAAAGTTCCTTATTATTCCTTGTCTGATTTATGGCGGTATAATTCTGCCCATTTCTCTGACTTACTGTTTACCTCTTCTCCTTAGCCTTATATCTTTCAGTCAAGGCGTTTGTACTCAATTAGTGAAGACTAATTAGATTTCTCATTGGTTTAATTACGTGTCTCGCTTTCATGATATATGCACGCCTGTTACTCAGTTTTGTGAGAAGTTCTCAAAGGACTCTCGTATTCCTTTGTAGCTGATGCAGTACATAGATTGCTTTCTGAAGGTAGGTCAGATTTGGAGTTTGAAACACTTTTTGTGTAACCTAAGTTTAAAATTTATTCTGCATATGAATCTTTTTTTAGCTTAGATTCTGAAGAAAATACTTTGAATCAGAAAACTGAATTTTGATTTGCTTTGCTTTGCTTGGCTCTGCCTAGAATATGTAAAATCTGTTGACTGAAAAGCTACAAACAGAAGATATGCTTTGTACCATAAGGCCTAGTAACAACTCTTAAATTACAGATTAGTCAGTAAATATGAACGGACTTCTCCCACACTGTTATTGAGAAACTGAGAAAATCTTGTGAATGGGACTCAGGTGCTGGCTGTTCCTGGGCAGACTGTTTGCTCTCTGCACTTCAGTCTCTCCACCTGCACAATGGGTATATTCCTGCTCCACCCTTCAGTAAAGGAGGGGAATTATTCAGTTTTGTATTGGAGCAAATGGGTATTACTTCACTCCTTGGTTATGGCTCATTTCATGGCACAGAGGTATAGCAAGGATCACTCTCTTCTGAACATAGATAAAAATGGAGGAAACAGAACTGCTTAAGTGTTTGGCTCAGTGGAATCTGTTGGGTATATATGACATGTTCTCTCTTGTATTAGTTATGGTGGGGGATTTGGATCAAAAACAGCCCGATTATGACTCCCTTGCTAAAGATGCTTTAAATATTCAATCATTTTTATAATGTATGATGAAATACTCTATTGGGAAATCCTAGGAGAGTGCTGCGAAATTTTATACTATCTTGGTATTATTCATATCTGGTAGGTTTGTATTAATCTTTCAGAAGAGCATTAATTATGAGATTAAGTCTTATGGAAGTATTACACACCTCATATTTTTACTGTAGTATTTATTCTAATGAAATAGTTATTTGCCGTTAAGGAATACCTCATATTGCCCATTAATCCTGAAAGAGAGGCACATTGATGGTAGTAATTGTCTCTAATCTCTTCTCTTTTGTAGATACAGGCTGGTACCAGAGGTGTGCTTCCCTGAGCAATTCTATGATGCTCTCCGTGCTACTAAGCATTTTTTGCAGCCTGATGTCTTAGCTGAGTATTCAGTTGACCCAAGTCGAATTGCAATTTCTGGTGATAGTGCAGGAGGAAATTTGGCAGCTGCCGTGTGTCAGCAGGTAACATCCAGTGTCTGTTATGTGTTACATTACGACAACCTCTAATTTGGTGATGCCCATAGGTTGACAGATTCTTTGTGCTGCATCATCACAAGATGATATGCAAACCCTAAAGACAGAATGGTGGAAAGCCAGCATCTAGACATTTAACAGAAGAAAAACAAGTCAATCACCATATGAATCACATAGCTTGCAATGTCTTATTACAGCTACCAGTTGTTACAGGCCAGATTTTACGAGCAAGTAGCTAAATGACTCTGTTGCTGGTGAATTCTTTATTTTTCTAAGTATGTAACTAGGTACATACATAATTTATCAATTTAGCTTCCTATTTTTAGATGCTTGTCTCTGAAAATATATTTTTATTTCTTTCAAATACAAATGAAAGACAAAAAACAAATGAAGCTTAATTCTTCTGTTAAATTGTCTTCCAGTAGCATTTTGCAATTTTAAGGAAATTTCTTCTGTGTATTTGCAGTTTAAATGTAATCTGAATTTAATCTAGTAAAGATTTAAAGGCAGCCTGGGGCAAGTAATAATATTTCTCATGCTTGAGTGAAATATGATTATTAGCTTTTTTGTATTGCCATAACCATTGGTGATAAGAAAGCAGATACCATGCCAGGCAACTAATTATCATTACAACCTTGCAATATTGAATTAGGGTGACAAAATTAATAAGGGACAATTACATTAAAAGTTTCAATATCAAGAACTGATAAACATGATAGTACCACATTTTGGAAGCAGCATTCCTAATTCGGTTCCCTGATGCAGAATTCTTTTTAAATCAGTGATGTAGGACTGTCTCGGGGAGAGGTTAAATACACTAAGATTCTTTAGCCTGAAAAAGAGACAGACAAGATGAGATGTGATAGAGAGCTGCATACCTTGTGTAGAAGATGAAGCAAAACAAGTGTTTGCTGATTTTTCCAGTAAAAGAATTAGGAGGCACCAAATGTATAACTGGTAGGCTCAAATCATTTGATGCAAATGCAGATGGCAGGTTGAAGTCAAACACAAGGAGATGCTTCTGCATATGGTGAGCCTTTGCTAGAGAAAACTGTGTATGCCAACAGTTTGCATACACTGAAAAAAAACAATTAGAAAAATTCATGGAAGAAAAATCCATTAAAAGCTTTTAAAACCAAGAATAGCTCCTTTGATTCAGGAAGTCCTTCAGCTGCAAATTGTTGAACTGGGAACTGTGTCAGAGAAATGCCACTTTACACTTTTTCTTCAATACACTTCTACACTTATCCTTCAATAAACTTCTGCCACTGATTTTTCTTGGAGACAGGGTACTGGGTCTGCCCCAGTGGCCATCCTTACAAGAAAAGAAAATGATCAGGCTACTTTTTCAAATATTTTTCAAGCAAAAGAACAGCATTATCTGCGTAAGAGTAGAACTTGGCCTAAAAATTGTCAAATGAATGATTGCTTGTATGAAATTCAAGGTTGATATTGTAAAATTTATTTTCTTTATAGTCCAAATCCTAACCTGTATTTTTCCCACAGCTTAGCAGAGACGAGCATTTGACCATCAGACTGAAACTGCAGGCCTTAATTTATCCAGTCCTTCAGGCATTTGACTTCAATACACCTTCTTATCAGCAGAACATGAATATGCCCGTTCTTCCTCGTTATGTCATGATCAACTATTGGATAGATTATTTCAATGGTAATTATGACTTGGCTCAGTCACTGCTGATTAACAACCACACTGCACTTGATGTTGGCCAAGCTCTGACTTTCAGAGGACATCTGAACTGGACATCCCTACTGCCTTCATCATTCAAAAAGAACTATAAACCTGTAATACAAACCACAGGCAACGCTGAAATCATCCAGGAGATCCCAGCGCTGCTTGATGTACGAGCAGCCCCACTGCTTGCAGAAAATGAAATTCTGCAGCTGCAGCCAAAGACTTACATCCTGACCTGTGAGAACGACGTCCTGCGAGATGATGGGGTGATGTACGCCAAGCGCTTGGAGAACGCCAGCGTGGAAGTCACACTTGATCACTTCGATGACTGCTTTCATGGCTGTATGATATTCACCATTTGGCCTACTGATTTCTCTGCAGGCGTTCAGACCAGAAACAGCTATATCAAATGGCTGGATGAAAACCTCTGAAGAGACAGTCTCTCAAAGACACCAAGTGCCCAGCTTTGGTGTCTGTTCTTGCAAAAGAGCAAACAATGAAAAGTGCACTTTTACAAATTCAGACTTGATCTGTTCAAGGGGTTACAGACCACTAACTACAGCTTTCGTTGCCCAGCAAAGGATTTTGAGAAATATTTTTTCAAACTTTGATTTTTTTTTTTTTCACCTTCTTTCAGATGACTATTGCCAAACATAAACAAATGTTGAGCAGGGAGGTCAGCATTCCTGTAGCATTCTTAACTGTCTGGAACTTTCAAGCTTTGACTCTTAATTAGGCACAAAGGCCCCAGTTTTCAAATGATGTGAAGTAAATGCAAACACCTACATCTACATCTGAATATGTAAAAACAGGAGCCAGTTTTCAACAGTGGTGAGCACTTGATGTCAAAGGAAGTGTGAACCGTGCATTTGAATGTCAAGCATGGATTTAGGTGTTGGCTTTAGGCACACAGACAAATGGCTCATTTTAACTTAAAAAAAAACTCTCCTAGGCAGTTAAGATGATGCTAGACAAGTCTCTTAGCCAAACATGTAATTCTGCTTTAGAAATTGGTCTTTCTTGCCTTTTAGTTATTTATATTTTATAAAAGCACAGGACTAAATATATTTTCAATAAAAACTATTACAGCATACATATACATATATAAGGATAAAATATTACGTGTAGCAGCAGAATCTAGGTTGTGTGTGTGAGTGAACTTCAAAGCTGACTACTTATTTGGCTAAAGAATGTGTCTTCATCTGTGTTTAAAGCCTCAGTTGTATGATCTCCTTACAGAAAATACTGAGCTTACTAAAAATAATCTGCTGTGTGGTTTGCACTAATGTTTGTAATTAGTAGAAGTTTTTGTTGATTGACTTTTCTTTTGTGCTTGTAGCGTTTATTGTATTTCATGATTCGTGGAAGGAGGGAAGCAAGCAAATACAAGTGGGCTCTAGTCCATACAGAAGATTTAAATCTGAGCTTTGCAGCTAAATTTTGTCTGTTTTGAAGACTGACTCAAAACACTAGGTAAGATGATCTTGCTGTTGTGCATCAAATCTTGGCAGTTTGAGGCAATCTTTAAGATTCAGACAAGCAGGAAGGGGAAGTGAAACTACCTGTGACAGTGGATGTTGTCCAGGATGCCTACAGCTTGCAGAAATGAAGGTTGTGTCAAAAGCCCAGTATTTCTAGGCAAAGCACAGAGAATGGCTGTCTTGTGACTAATCTAGTGGATTAAATTCATCCTCAGTTTTACTACAGGCTTTCTGTGAGACCCCAGAAGAATAACTTGGCCTCCTTATCCCTCACTTTCTTCTTCTGCAAGAGAGGGAGTGGTAATTTCCTACCTCACAAAGGAGCTGTGAAGCTGAATTCCCAGGGGTTGGTGAAGCACACGGATGTGAGAGTGACTGGCAGGCACTGAACAGATCTTGTAACTTTTGACTTTCCATCCTTCTGCAATAGCTGAGTCTGAGCAGCCTGTCCCACGATGGAGGGTGCTGCTCCACTATGGGTCCTCCTCGGCAGTCAGCTCACCTCTGTCCTGGCATCTGTCAAAGTACCATAAGGTGAGGCTTGGGAGACCATGACAATGGCAGTTTCATTAAAGCATTTCTTATGGCAGGTCTCTGAAGAGTTCTTAAAAAAAATGTAGATCACACTGCCTTCTGTCATTTAAAATATGTATAGAACAGTCCACTTTCACTGGTATTTAAATTAAAAAAGAGAACGGCTTTGCTGAATCATTGCTAGCTAGAAACATAAAGCGGTTAATATGGTTGTATGTATTAAAAGCTATTAAAGAGACAAGGCCTCCATGTAGGCTCAGTCATGCAGGCTGAAACTCATTGCTGGGCAGAGGTTCACACTGAGGTCACAAGGCAAAGCTTTTTCAACAGTGGCTTAGAGTCTTCCTCCATTTAGATCCTTACAAAGACTTAGTGGAATTAGAGCAGCTGAGTGAAAATCTAAATCATAAGACATTCTTGTCAAGATATCCAGTGAACACTGCAGAAATATTCAAACTGAATTCTGGATTTAGACCTTTCCTTCCTTCCTATATCAGCACAACTACATAGATACAATTTACACTTAAAACAGATAGCAACCAAAGTTATGTCCATTCAAAAGAGAAATTACTGCTCTGTTCCAGAGTCTTATTCCCTGTATGGAGACAGCTTCATTTACCTGACTTTAAACTATGACTTAGAGTAAAAAAAATATTGTGACACTGAGTTGTAACAACACGCTTCTTCCTGGCTTTCCCACTTAAAGAGAAAACCCATGTCAGAAAAGATGTCATTTATATCAACCTGCTGTCATTAAAAGACAGTAGTATCTATAGTACTGGAAAAAAAAGTGGTTAATATTCCTATAAATTCTGTAATAATTACATTTGCCTGAGAGCTGTCTGCAAAGCTTTAGATCAGTGTTTGTTTATAGCCAAGTTATAAATATCTGCTATGAAGCTATAACATAATTATTGCTGGTTTTTTTAACTGAAATGTAATGGAGAGCAAGAATATATATTCATGGAGTCAGTTGTAAATTTCCTTCATGCACTGAAGCACGTTAAAGTCTTGGCAGAAGAAATGGTAGTAATAACTGGACTGAATGTGTTTACTAAGGCATCACCAGCTTGATGCGACATCCAAGATCACAGCACAACTTGGATGAGGTGTTACAGTCTTAACTAGTTCAAAATATCTTGACTACTTTTGTCATGCAGCTATATGGTTTAAGCACATGATAGCTGCAAAGATATGTGATGGATCCTGTAATACAAAAAGAGGTCTGAGCTCCAGCTGTAAAAAGACCTTTTAATATATAGCTGCACAAGACACTTGATTAAAATTCAGTGAAAACCTTGAAGTGTTTGGCCAAACAGCTTTCCTCCTACTTTGCTTTGTTCTCTTTTGCACCCAGTTCCCGTGCCCAAAGTGGTAAGTTTTGGGTTGTTCCCAGCACTGACTCAGCTGAGCGCTCAGCCAAGCAGGGTTACAGGGAGCTGGTGCCTGCTAGCGGGAGATGAAGATTAACGCATGCCACACCACCTCGGTTTGCTCATCTGTGTGGTCCTACCTCTCGTGAAGTGTTTTCTGGGTGTACCGAGCACCTTCATTGCTTGGTTATTTCACAAGCAGTTCAGGGCGCTTTGTGTACTGTAGGATCAGATCAAGTATTTGTAACAACATTTACCCGTGCATAGTAAAACATTAGTCTTCTAAAACAAGATAGTCAATTAATTTGTCTACTTACGTTTTCATTACATCAACAGGTATGGTTAACTACTTTTTGACAATTGCTTTTTTTTTTCCCCCCACTCCTACAATTAGACTTTATATATCCATTGCAAGAGTATCTTGTTCCTGATGGCCATCAAAGCATTCAAACGTAAGCTTTAAAATGAAAAAAAAAGCTCCCGTAATAGAACCTATAGTCACTCATGTCCTACTTTCATAGACCTGGAAACTATAGTAGCAAGTCCTCAGTATTTTGGCCAATATTTGAAGGAATAGGTTTGTAGGTTTTTGTCTCCCTAGCTTGGGATGTCTTAAAGGATGAGTGTTCAGCATTTCCGAAGACCCAGTCCTGTTTAAAGATGTTTTGTGGTGCATAAAATAAAACAAGTTGAATGTCCTAACCTTCATCTAAGTAATTCCAAAACTGCACCCCTAGCCAAAGCAGAAAGGCCATTGTGGGTTTTAAGCCCTACAAAGTAAAAAGAAATGCTTTATTTTCAAAATGTTATTTTGTATTGTTTGGGCCTCTATATTTTTTTAATCTCTTACCAAACTTTATTAGAAACTTTTTCAAATAAAAATACTAGAATTAGGTTAACCTGTGTTAAAACTTTTAAGCTGCTATGATCTGTAACAATTATGTTGTTAAAAAACAAAACAATACAAAACCAGCTGATTTAATGTTCTCTTATTTGTGATGTTCAAAACCCCAAAGTACAACATACTTGATGTGAGTGCATTCAGTATCTTATGCATGACCGTTTTTTGCTTCTTTCCCAGTGCAGGGGAAAGATGTTGTAAGATCGAATTAGCAAATGTGATGGAGATGTGCTATCAAAATGAAGAACAAATAAATAAAGTTAAATTTATGTGTGATTTTTTTTCTCTCCCCCAGGATCACTGGTTTTATTTTCCGATGTAAAACATTTCCAATTTGAGCTTTCACTTGGCAGAGGTCAGTGAAACAAAACGAGAGGCTGCAGAGTTCCTGAAGAAATGCTGAACCCAAGCCAAGGTGGTTGTTTTCAAGGCAGGAAACCTTGCCTGCGTCCCTGAGCTGCAAGGGTGACCTCTTTTCACTTCATTTCAGCCAAATGATTAATGGTGACCACAGTTGCTGGCATTGAATAGAGGGCAATACCTGCACTACTGCTGTTCCTTTCTCTTTCAAGATAGACAGCAAAGCTTGTGTTCTCTGTTCTGATCTACAAACAGATTTTTTACATGTTTATATGTTTGAAATCTGTTTTAGCCAGTGGAAGTCCTGATTTAATTTTCATTCCTATTTGCCTGCCTTTCACATTATTTCTTTCTGAACTATTAGCTATTTTCTTCCCCTGCTCTCTCATTTATTAATGGTCGTAGCACCATTACTTTTGAAATATCTTAGTGTGGGGTTTGTAATTTTGTCCAGCAGGGTCCTGTGACTTTCACAGAATATAAAGCTCTTAAAATGCTGGGGGAAAAAAACATTTCAAAAGACTTGTAAGCCCAATTTTAAGTCAGCAGGAGTTGTACTCCTTGCTTGCATTAAATGAATGCATTAAAAACAGGCTGGGCCTCATAGGTTTTTCCCAGTCAAGTTTTCTTACATTTAGTGAAAAGTCTGACTCTGCAGGGCTTGGCAAGGCCAGGGCAGTGTCTCCCATGGCCAGGTGCAGCTGTGCACATTACCCTGTGCTGGGTGCCGCTGCAGGGGTGCACAGCGAGCTCTCCTGAAGGGCACTTGCTGCCATCCATTC